AAGCCTTTTGGATGCTGCTAACTATAGCTAGGGTGGGGCTTCCCATTACCTACACCCAGAACTATGATAAACCAATGAGTGGTGTCATCCAGCACTGTACACCCTTAATCACAGTATCACATCCTTAATCCACATTTCACAGCCTAGATCTAGTCACCTCTGAAAAGCCCCTCCTGTGACCACAGGCAGCTTTGTAGGGCCTTCTAGATACAAGCCATAACCGAGCTGCAAACCTGCCTGAGGACCAGCTTGAGGCTGTAACTTCTCAGGAAAGATGGATTTTCCCCTTAACTCAGAAACCAAAACCAAAATGATTTCTTTTTTTAGTTCCTGGTAAGGACTGTATAGTAGCCCAGGTGATGCCCCTAGGACAGCAGTATCAGTAGGTATACTGGACCACACCTGGGAATGTCACCTGATTTGTAAATAGGATCTTTACAAATCTGAAGAAATTGATAATCTTGAGATGAGGATTATCCAGCATTATCCAGTGCAACTTTATGTGCAATCACAGTATTCTTAGAGAGGCAGAGGGAGATTATAGATCAAGGAGGAGAACTGATCAGGATTTAGAGGGTGAGGTAAGAGTGACTTGGCCACAGCTGAGGAACCCTGACATCAGGAAGTGGCAGGCAGTGGAGCATCCTTAGAGCCTCCAGATGCCCAGAAACCAGCATGCTGGGTGTGGTGCTGAACAGGCAGAACACTTAAGAGGGGAGATCTAATAGAAGACCACTGTTGGGGCTCCACATCATGCAGGGATCCAACTGCCTCTTGGAACTAGATTAGGTCCCATGAAAGTGGACTGTTGTAAACCAGCATCATACTTTCCCTGAATCCCTCTTCTACCCTTGCTCCAGCTTTTGATTCCATCCACCAAAAATGAGGTCCTCACCAGAGCCAAACTAATGCTGGGGTCATGATCTTGAATCTCCAGAACCAAGAGCTGAATAAACCTCTTCCTTTATGAAATATCCAGCCTCAGGTATTTTGTTATAGCAACATTAAACTGACTAAAAGAGATGGGGACTATGTAAAGGGACTTATTTGCAGCACTAAGCAAAGACCCACTGGTGGGAGTTGAGTGCCAGTGTGCAGAGCAGAGGTGAGAAGACAAAAGCTAGTGAGTTTCTCAGTGTGGCTTTGGCCTTGGTTACCAAGCTGCCTCTGGGTCTGTCTTTCCTAACCAGATGGTGGAAGCAGCTGGTCTGTCAACTACTAGTTCAGGAAGACTTACGCTTCTCCCCCTTCCCCTCCCCTTCAGTGTGTCTTAGTTACTTTTCTCAGCACTGAGACAAAATATCTGACACCCAAAGTTAAAGGAAGAAAGTGTTATTTGGCTTACAGTTCATAAATGTTTTAGTTCACAGTTGGCTGGTTTCAAGGCAGGGTGACACCACAGACGGGCATTGCAGAGGACAGTTATGGCAGGCAGAAGACAGCAAGTAGCAAGTCAAGCAAACTTAGCAGCCTTCTTCTGCCCCTTTGACATTCTCTCTAGGCTACTGGGTTTAGGGTGGGTACCAAACCAACCAATGGGCTGATTTAGTAATCACACACACTTAATCCCAGCATCCTTAATCCTAACATTCCACCATAAATCAATCCCATCATCATATACTATAAATCCAGCCACCTCTGAAAAGCCCTGCCTATGACTGCATGAGGTTTGCAGGGCCATTTAGATGTAAGTACAACACAGTGCATCTTCCATTCTCAGTAGGGAGATTGTTCTACTCCAGCCCAGACTCCAGCTAGTCTATATCAGGACTTTGGGAGGGAGAAACAGAGGCACAAAGATGGAAATGGAGAAGGTGGTGTGTGTGTG